TTGCTACTAGGGGTCTGTTGAGACAGTTCCTTCAGCATATGCAGGGCAAGCGGTAGCCCCTGTGTGACAGGCCAAGACTTAGTATGATTCTATGCTCTCGGCCGTATTCCCTTAAAGGAATCTATTCCTGATTCCAAGCCGTGAGCTCTACCCCAGGCCCAGGAGTTCTGGCCCTAACAGGTACGTTTTTTGAGGTATGTAACCTAGGCCTTTGGCCGTAGGGGATAATGTCACTGACAGCCGTCTTAACGTCCCAGGGGCAACTCCCATGGCTATGGTAGAGTTGGTACTTAGTGCTCGCTATGGTTTCTGGCATGCACTCCCCTCAGCATGGTGGCGTGGGTATACCGTTCCGTAAAATTCTGTCATTAATTACTCACTCTCATGTCGTTCAAAACCCGTAAGACCTTTGTTCATCTTTGGAACACAAATTCATATTTGTGAACAAAGATATTTTTTATAAAATCTGAGAGCTCTCTGACCCTCCCATAGAAAGCAACACAACTGAAATGTTCCCAGGTCCAGAAAGGACATCGTTAAAATAGTCCATGTGGCTTCAGTAGCTCAACCATAATGTTATGAAGCTACAAGAATACTTTTTGTGCGCAAATAATACAAAAATAACGACTTTATTCAACAATTCTTCTCCACCTTATCCTGTGCGTGTTAGCATAAGCAGCAGCACCATGCGCAAGTGTTGTTTACATGAAGTGGAAGCAAGCGCATGCATCATGATACTCTCCACAATGGTGGCATGCCTCTGCAGACAGGAAAACGAGGAGAAGAATTGTTGAATAAAGTCGATATTTTTGTTTTACTTGGAATTAGGCTAAGATAAATATGGGGTAACCGGGGAAAAACATGAAACCAACGAACATGAACTTGCGATACTGCAAAATGCCTTAAATTCTTGCGGCCCTAAAGCAAAACCTTTGGAGAATGATTCAATGCTTAATATTCACCATAACTCGTGGAACTTTATGATGAATATCTGTCTTCTTATTTACATTTACATGTAATCATTTAGCAGCTCTCTTCAGTAAGATGTTTGTTTCAAGCCAATATGGAACATTGAGCCAATATGGAATTGTTAATTTCCACAATTTTCTTTCAAAATATAGTTTTCATTTTTAGCAGTGTGTTTTTTTCATTCAGCTACACAATTTTTATCCCTTTACTATGTTGACTGTGTTGTCAAAGACAGCTGACAGGAAATATACAAATTCTAAACTCTTTAAAATTCTGAAAAATATGTTGCCTACATTTGCAAATCTGCTTGATTGTTTAAACAATTGTCAAATGTAAACTATACTATTGCCAATGGTCTGAATTTTAAAATGTGTACAATTAAAGGCACAATATGTAAGTTTTCACCACTAGAGGTTGCATTTTCAAAACAATAACAAAGGCAAAGCTTGATGACGCTATGAAGGAGGATGTTCACAGATGAGGTAATGCATTAATTCTTTTATTGCCTGTACCTTCCACAGTTATTCAAACAGCGAATAAATTATACAGAGAAAGTGAACAAAAAACATTTACATTGTGAAAGAACATTATGACTGACTTCAATATAGCGTGAATTTAAGCACTCTCCAAAAACTTCCCTTATAATCGGTAAAGCTGTCTATACGCGGTTTGATTAATGAATCTCTTACATCATACATACATCTGCACTTTGTTGTTTATGATGATAGAATTCGCGTGAGAGCTGAATTCAGTCAGCGAGCGCGTGCAGTGAACAAAAACTCATCTGAACGCCTCTGATTGGCCATTGCATTCATAGGCTCGACAGACTCATGTGTGATTGGTTATAATGCGCAACACTGTAAAAATGTTTAAAAAATCATGCTGCAACATTGAGCAGATCTAAATTTAATGCTGCGGACAACACTTTTCATGTAATTTTCATTTTATTCGCAACAGACGTAATGGATTTAGTTTAACTGTACAGCAGCATTTGTGTCCGTGTGTTGCCATAGTTTCTACAAGCGAAAACTGAGGATATGTGGATATTACGTCATTGATAAGCGACAATGACCAGGGACGAGCCATTATTTAAAATTGGAATTTCTCTGGATTTACAAATCCTTGGGAACTTTTGGGATAACGTAAGTACACAACTGCATGGAATATATCACACTGTGCAGGTAGTTTTTGGATATTTTATTACGAAAATCTTACATATTGTGCCTTTAAGCATTGACATAATGAAACTCTGTCAAGCTGCTTTAAAAGTATAATTGTGAAATGTGGCAATCAAATTGACAATCTCATACAAAAAAATGTCTGTTTATTAATGAGCATTTCTACTCATGCTGTACAATTATTCTGAGAAACATTTGCCTCTGTATTTTATAGACAGCCAAGTAGTTCACCATGCAGATCAACTCTGATTCATCAAGGTCCTCCAAAACGATATTATCTACTTACAGAGAAAAAAGTGCTTGATGAATATGGAAAAGTCAGAAAATGGACTTGCGGGATAAAAGACAATAGTAAACCAAACAAAATCATTCTGCTGGTGGGAGAGACCGGCGTTGGCAAGACCACCATCATCAACACCATGGTCAACTACTTACTGAATTTGAAGTTTGAGAATGAAATATGGTATGAAATCACAGAAGCAGCAGCCGGAGACCAATCAGAATCACAAACCTCTGAAATCACAGTGTATGAGGTCTTTCCTGTAAATAGTCCCATGTCTCTCACCATCATTGATACTCCAGGCTACGGAGACACTAGAGGACTGGACAAAGATCTGGAGGTTGCTGAGAATTTAGCCACTCTGTTTCAGAGCAATGATGGAGTTCGTGAAGTCGACGCCGTCTGCTTCGTGACTCAAGCATCTAAGAATCGTCTCTCAGACAGACAGCATTACATTATCAGTTCAATTCTGTCTTTGTTTGGAAAAGACATTGTGAACAACATTGTGTTTTTAATCACACACTCTGATGGTCTGCCACCCAAAAATGTCCTCGGTGCCATTAAAAAAGCTAGAATCCCCTGCAGACGAGACAAAAGTGGCCAACCTGTTTATTTCTCATTCAACAACCGTCAGGCTGATGATCGTCACACTAGAGAACGTCACATTCGTGCTCAAAGAGACGCCTGGGAAGACAGTGTGGAGGATGTGAAGCAATTCCTTCATTCTCTGGATGAAAAGAACAGAAGAAGTTTAGAGTTGACTTCAAGTGTCCTGATACAGCGCATTCGATTTGAAGCAACTATCTGCAACTTACAACTGCGAGTTCAAGAGAAAGAGCTGAAAATAGCTGAAAAACATCAGATTCAGAATACAATAAGACAAAACAAGGAAAAGATTGACAGGCATTCAGACTTTAGCATTCCTTTTAAAAAGCCTGTCAAAATGAAGGTTCCCATTGAGAGCAAGTCATGGAAGCACAGGAAGGCGATGACCTGCACCATCTGTGAGGAAAACTGCCATGAGTTTGACTGCTGGTGGGGTTCTGATCCCAGCAAATGTGAAGTCATGAAAGACGGGAAAAGACATTGTGAACAACATTGTGTTTTTAATCACACACTCTGATGGTCTGCCACCCAAAAATGTCCTCGGTGCCATTAAAAAAGCTAGAATCCCCTGCAGACGAGACAAAAGTGGCCAACCTGTTTATTTCTCATTCAACAACCGTCAGGCTGATGATCGTCACACTAGAGAACGTCACATTCGTGCTCAAAGAGACGCCTGGGAAGACAGCATGGAAGAGATGAAGCAATTCCTTCAGTCTCTGAATGAAATGAGCAGAAGAAGTTTAGAGCTGACTTCGGATGTCCTGATTGAGCGCATTCGATTTGAAGCAACTATCTGCAACTTACAGCTGCGAGTTCAAGAAAAGGAGCTAAAAAAGGCTGAAAAACTTCAGATTCAGGAGGCAATGATGCAAAACAAGGAAAAGATTGAAGATTGTAAAAACTTTGCCATTAAAATCAAAAAGACTGCCAAAGAGAGGGTTCCCATTGAGAGCAAGTCATGGAAGCACAGGAAGGCGACGACCTGCACCGTCTGTGAGGAAAACTGTCATGAGTTTGACTGCTGGTGGGGTTCTGATCCCAGCAAATGTGAAGTCATGAAAGACGGATTCTGCACCGTGTGTTCAGGGAAGTGTCATCACAGCAAACACGTCAAAGACAACAAGAAATATGTCATCAGAAGCTCAAGCACAATGATAGAATATGACTCTACAAGAAAGGAAAATAAAAAAGCCCAAGAACAAACCAACAGGTTTTCAGCTGTAATGGATGATGTTGACAAAGACCTGCAAGAGATTGAAACCCATAAGTCAATGCTTCTGTTCAATGCTTACAGGACCATCAAGAATCTGTCTCAGATCGCGTTAAAACCAGACTCTGCCTTCACTCTTCAGCATCTGGACTTCTTCATCCCAAGAGTGAGGGAGGCTGGGAAAGAAAACTGGGCCCGAGAGCTGGAGGAGATGAGGGGAAACGCTGAAGCTGAAGAAGCAAATAAAGATGCCATGAGTTATCTTAAAGCTGGCCTGACAAAAGTGTTCCTTAGTAGGAAATGAACAAATGTGATTAGACTTGTCTGTTATGTTTTTCTTAAAGGTAAAAAAAACAAAAACAAAACAAAATACAGGTTTCAAAATGTGTTTTTCACAGCAATGCCACAGAAGAAGCTTTTTTGGCTCTCCAAAGAACTCTCATTTTGATGCTTAGGGGTCTTTCAGGGGAACATCTACAGGATTCTTGAAAACCTGCAGAGACAGTTCAGATGTCAGCTTGTTTAAATCAACATCACTGAAAAAAAAAAAACATTTTGTACTAACACATTTTAAGTGAATTTTACTGCTACTGCTCTAACAATCTACTTACTTGAACTTAACATTCATAAAGAAATTAAGTAAATATTGCATAATTATATATAATTTCACATATAGAATTATAGAATAATATCTACTTACCTAAATTAAGTAAATTTAACAAAGACAATAAATAACTTTAGCTTGGCCAGTAAAAGTTTGAGTCGTTTTTACTTGGTAATACTTTGATTTTACTTAATATAGCACCTAATTAAACCATGCTTTTAAAGTGTATGCTACTTAGAAACATGTAAGTAAATACTGCAATAGATATCATGTAGACACCATATCTACATAATTACTAATGCAGCCCTCATCTGAACACAGGGACTTCAAAACTTGGTACACAATACACAATGACCGTAACCTTCTGTAGTTCATTTCTGGGTATAAATCTGTCATTTTGAGTAGAAAATGAACACCAGATGTAACAAAATCACAAGTAACTAAACCTAACAAAAGCAATGATAAAACAGTGGAAATACAGCTGGAAAACGGGGCATGATATCTGAAAAGTTGAGTAGGTTTTACTTAATTTTACAATGTTTATATTTACGCTTTAACTTCTACAAGATTAAATTGAGTACCAGTATATAATTTACTTTTTGTTTTAATTATTGGCTAAACTAACTTTTTCATATACAAATTACATTTGTTTTTTCCTGTAGTATTTACTTCACCACAGAATCATTTTTATCAGTGCAACTAATATTTGTTTTGCATTATTTGAAGGAAATTATTGTAAAATGTTTTATTCAAGAATAAAACCACTTGATTGAATTAAACTCATATGATAATAATCATAAACAGTATTTCTTTAGGTGTACATTTTTTTTAATGTAGAAAAACATTATGGTGCAACTTTAAAGTACAAAGGTCAGATAACAAAGATGAGTTTGTTTCCTGTAACTCACAGAGATAGTTTGATGTCACTCGTACAGTTGCATTTTTCAGCTTCCAGCTAAAAAGAAAACACACAACTGTGGTTGTGGTTACATAGCTTTTCACTATTTGTTTCAGCAGCCCAGAAAGTCAGGATGTCACAGATAAACCCCGCCTACACCGTCCCCCTTGACAGCTTTGTAAAACTAATCATTCACCCTTGATTTGATTTTTGGACATCCGGTGACATTCCTGTAGTGAGACAGAAACTAAACTCAGCACAGAATTTCCACAGAAGTGAAGTCCTATTAAACTGATCACCTCCGGCATGAAGACGACACAACCATTAGTCCCCACTCATGTTGCTCCAATTAGTCTCTCAATGCAACAATTAATCTTTCAGTTGCCATGCATTACAAACACATACAAAACAATCATAAAAATGGCCATGAAAGCAGATGTAACAACTGGTAGCATTAGCACATACATATTTATTTATTTAAAGTATCAGCACTTTTCATATTCCTAATTATTTCTATGAACATTACTTCAACAAAAATGCATATACATATCTGTATGCATGATACAAAACATACAGTCAGTGTTTTAATTCATTAGTTACAGCAGTCCATTACCAGCATGAGCAATTTCTACCAGCAGGCAACCATGTGTTTTCCCTGCCATTTTATTCATAAGCTATTCAGATATTAGAATGCACATTTGGCTGGGAGGGACTTCAGTTAGGCTTGTTAAATAAACCAGTATTTCCACCAAAGCTGACATTTCAGCCAGACACTCAACGCAGAGGCTGCTGTGTAAGAATATTTATTTATATTTGTTTAATAGCTAAATTTTGTCTCTAAAAATATTTTGACGGAATAATATTCCTCAAATATATGTTTTTTATGTTTAAATTATTAAATATAATAATAGCTTATATGTTAAATAAACAACACAGAACTTTACATTAAAAAAACATTACTCAAAGTAATTTAAGTTTTTGTGTTTTTGTTTTATTTTGTGCCCCGTGTAAACAGACTGCAGAGTGAAGGCAAAGTTCTTCTGTGAGGAAGACATTTAGTCCAGTGATCACCATGAGTGTCCAGTGAGTTGAAATTCATGTGCTTTCTTGAAAGCTAAATTATTATTATTATTATTATTATTATTATTATTATTATTAAATTAATTCCTAAATTATTGTATATATATTATCTAGTGATACTGAACTATGAATCGATTTTATAACAATCCAATACTCACATACTGGTCCTGATCAGGTGGTCTATCATTAAAGGGACAAAACTAGACAGAAAAAGTATCAAATGAAGGAGCATCATTCCATTGGCTGAAATGTTTTTATGGCAGCATCTGATGGACTGAATGGTCTTTGCACCAAATAGAAAAATGTGGTGATATACTTAGGAGTAAAGCTACTGTCTTACACCGCTAATTATGTCACTAATAATAAAAAAAAAAAGGCAAACAAGCCAATTTATGCCAAAGTTATAGGCTATAATTTATGAAAGATATTATTAAAGTGTTAAAAACAGCACATTTGTGTTGAATATCCAGTGATCATGGATTCAAAGCAGAGATGCTGGTATTTCGAAAATAAAGGCTGTTTGGTCCTGAACATGGCATTTAATATTTCGCTATAAAAGATGTAACAATATCTCGTAGTTATTTAGCAAGCAGTCACTTTCATTCTGTTTGTTTTAACTGCTCCCATTCCAATTAATTTTTCTAACAAATGAAGTATGAACATAATATCCCTGAGGTAAATCTAACGTTACGTGACATGTTCACTTTACATTTTGAAGCTGCTTCACTGACATCGTTCTGCGGTTAAAACACAGATTGAAAGATTACATGAAAGCTGATACGTTTCAGTAAGTTGTTCAGTATCATTCAACCCTTCTCACATTGATTTGTGTGTATTTCCTGGTAAAATTGGTAGAAAAGAGGAAGAGATGGTCGGTTCACGTGCCACTTCAACTGAGGCGCCTACAGGGCATCTGTCACGCCACATAAAGAGCAGCAATAAAATATATTGTTTGAATTTAGGGATAAATTTGACAGAAACCTTCAAAGCACAAAGGTATTGAGATTATTTGATGTGGTCTGCGCTCCAAATAATGATAAATGGCATTTTATTTATGCATGAGCTTAAAAAAAGACCAAGATCAAGATCAAGTGATAACTTCCCAGGTTACATATGTAACCCTAGTTCCCAGAGGGAACGAGACGCTGCGTCGGAGAATGCTTTGGGAACGCCCCTGTGTTCCCACGCTCTGAAACATGTGTGTAATCCGTCCTAGGGAATCCTGGGTGACGTCACCGGCGGGGATGACGTAGCGACCAGGAAGTATAAAAGCACGTGTGGTGGAGACAGTGGCAGCTTCTGAATTGAGAAGGAAGCGCTCACAGGGAGGCAGGAAGTATGGCAATGAGACATAGAGTCTCGTTCCCTCGGGGAACTAGGGTTACATATGTAACTTGGGACATTCCCTTTCAGGAACTCACGCTGCGTCGGTGAACGCTTTGGGAACGAGTATGCCGACGCCACCATACTGACAAATCCCTTTCCAGTGTGGAACGGCACAGATAGGCTGAGAGAACTGAGGAGCCAGGACTGGCATCAAGGTCAAGGCTATAGACGAAGGTCAGGTATATCATGCATCGACACACCTGATGAGAAGGCCTTGGACGCCGCCATAATTCTAGTGGAATGAGCCCTGAACCCCAGTGGTGAGGGGAGACCAGAGGACTCGTATGAAGTAGTGATAGCATCCACTATCCACCTGCTGAGGGTCTGCCTGTTCACAGGAAGACCCTTCTTATAAGGACCATAGCATACAAATAACTGGTCCCTTCCTCCACAGGGCACTGGATGCTCGCACTGGACACACACAATGAAGCTGTTCCTGGTCAGGGTCACAAAGGGAGGAGGACAGAATGCCTGTAGAGCGACTGGCCGTGGAACAACAGAGGGCACCTTTGGGCCTGGGGTACAGAAAAGTTCTCGCCATACCAGGTGCAAACTCGAGACATGATGGGGCCACTGACAGGGACTGCAGGTCAACGACTCTCTTCAGGGAAGAGATGGCTAGTAGAAATTCAGTCTTAACTGTAAGAAATCTCAGAGAAACCTTTTCCAGGGGTTCAAAGGGAGCTTTCGAAAAGGCCTCTAAAACCACAGCCAAATCCCAATAAGGCATCCTTGGGCGTACTGGAGGCCTCAGCCTCTTGGTACCCCAGAAGAAACGTGTCACCAACGGGTTCCTCCCCAGAGACTGCTCGCCCACATGGGCATGGTGAACAGCAATAGCAGCCACGTAGACATTTAAAGTGGAGGAGGATAACCCTGTGGCAAATCTCTCTCGCAGAAATTCCAGCACTGGCCCAACCAGAAGGATCTGGCATGCCAGCCTGTAAAAGGGGCCGCGAGCGCAGACCCCCCTGGCGGTTGATGTAAGAGACCACTGATGTGTTGTCTGTGCGAACAACCACATGATGGCCTCTCAGGTCTGGAAGAAATTGCTTCAATGCTCGAAACACGGCCAGCATCTCCAGGCAGTTGATGTACCATATGAGATGGGGACCTTCCCACAGACCCTGGGCGGAGCGGATTCATGACTGCTCCCCAACCCGTGAGGTAGGCGTCCGTTGTAAGCATTACGCAACGACATGGATCCCCCAACACGGGGCCTTGTGACAGGAACCAAGGTTTCTTCCACATGTCTAAGGCACATAAGCATCGGCGCGTGACCTTGATCATGCGAAGTGGGTTGTCCTTCGGGGAAAACCCATTGGTCCTGAGCCACCACTGCAAGGGTCTCATGTA